CGTGAACTCTTGCTCTCCTTCCTGCTGTTACCCGTGAGCCCTTGTTCTCTTTTCTTGGCCTTACCTGTGAGCTTAAAGGGTGGAGGCCTTCTTCTTGCTGCCCCTATCCGTGGACCTATTCAGTTGAGGCTTTTCTCTTCTCTTGGCCCTACCCGTGAGTCTTAATTTGTGATCTCTTTGTGGAATAGGTTGGGCTAGTGGTTGTCCCTCTTTATTACCCTTGGTTATGAACATTTATATGGTTTTATATGGATAATTTCATGCTTATGTGATATGAAAAACTTTTAATTGAGGATGGATATAAATGATTTTTGTCATTGGTATGATTTTTTTTTTCTGGAAAGTTAGAGAGTTAACTCCTCTATTGGTTAGTGCCCCTTCTTTTGTGAAAAATAGAAGGTTCATACAATTTCATTTGAAGGAAATATAGGTTGGTGCAAATTTGATTCATGAAGGGTTTGAAAATTCATAAAATTGCTATTTGGAAAGGATTTTTGGAGATTCGACGTTGAAGTTTGGATAACATAAATACTATATTCGGGTTCAGGCATGGATGTGTGAGTGCATATAAGTGATGGAGCCATGGGTACAATGTTATTTTAATTTTGGGCCCATTTCAATCTATTTAAAACAAAAATTTGGAGAGGATACCCTTCTTGGGTTGATCCAATTATATAAAATTTGAGAAGATGATATACTCTTGATTGATTCAAGGTTCTTGGGCTCTCTTTTGAGGGTTGCTTCACCCTTTATCCTTTCGATCTTTTGGATGGATCAATTCCTCCTCTCTCATCCCTATTTTTTTAATTTTTTTCCTTGCTTCTTGGTTCGATTTTCTATGCTTATGTCTGATACATAAGTATTGATACATAAGTACTCATATATAACATTTTGCTATATATGAAACCATCAAGCAAGGTCGCAAATAGGTCGGTTTTGTTTTGGGCTTAGGGCGATGATGACAAAGACATGCCGGTGGTAGAGCAAAATAATTTTTTATTCTACAACATCAGAACTCAATTTTGGGACCTGATGAACTGTATGATGAAAGTATCATTCACCGACACAAAACTAGGGGACCCGTACCTTCTTAGGTTGTTGGTGGTCCTACGCCCGATGACGTGATCGACTCGTGGACAACTATACATTTTAAAACTGATAAGAACAGACATGATAAAAACAGATACAATGTTTTATAAAAAATATATATATTTTTTCAGTACAAAATTAATACAACTTCCTTTTTTTATGTCTGAAATTCATGTGCATGCTAAAATATAAATTTTAAATATGTTGCAACTTAATTGTCCACTTGTTGATTACCGTTAGGTTTTGTAGACACCCTTCTAGTTGAGTGGCGGGTTCTATACATACGGGTGACCGATAGTAGTCTTCGACGTCACTCGAGTACAAATATATTATATTTGAGCCTAGCCCCGACCCGAGTGCTTGCAGTCCCCTTTTTTCGGATTTTTCGTGTGTTTTATCGGAATTTTTGGACAAATCACTCGTGGTCTTTTCTTTCGGGATCTTCCCTAGGTTTTTGATATTTTTCTTGGAATTATCATTTGTCGATTTTTTGAAGTTTTCCGTCTTGAGTTATTTGTCGATTTTCTTGAGTTTTTCCAGGTAATGTTTCTTTTGAATATACAGTGTATATTAGCTTGCTTAAAGGAGCAGCATACCTATCAGATATACAGATTTGATTTACATTACAACATTTCACAGCATATTATTATGTTCACCTTCTTTACTGTGTATTATACTGCTTATTTTCTTTTATGCTGCATGTTTTATTATTTTGTTGCACACTATACCTTAGAATATGAGGCCAGTAGTTGGTTTTATAGGAGGTACCCGGTAGTAGAGCGTTGACTAAACAATTGCATATACATTTAAAATTAACATCAAATCCGGAGGTGCTACGACGAGGAGCTTGGAGCGAATACCGTGGGCAGCAGGACAAGGACATTCAGAAGAGCAACGTCAAAACAAATTCACATCACTAATTACTTTCTTTGTTTAAATAACAACCCATAGAATTTCGAGGTGGTTTGCCTAGCGCAGCGTAAACCTTCACATATCACTTTTAGGCTTTTGCATAACCCTGTTGTGCAATTATAAGTCTTAACATTTTTAGGCTTCCA